TCTCAACCTTCTACCAGCGATACCCAGGCAAGCCCAGCCTAGGTAACGATCACATTCAACCAAGACAAAGGCGAGGGAAAGCCTCCTACACCATTGTAACCACACAAGGACGGGGGTGACAGCCACCGCCAAACCACACCAACCAGCGCTGAATACTCATTCATGGAGCTAACCGACGAAGAACTCAAGGAAAGGAAAAAACAAGCACAGCATAATGCCATATCATGGACAGTATACTACGATGATGGATGTCCCACACACTGTGGAGACAAGGAAGGCTCGGAATGGTTCCTGAGAGAATACAGAAAGTATTGTCCACACCCAGACCATGCCCTAAAGCACTGGAAACAGTGCTTCAACAACACGTGTAAGATGCACAGAATAAAGAAAATCACTGCGAGATACTAATTGCAGAAGGATAGAATAAAGAAAGAGTTGGACGGAAAGAACACCACGATATGGCAGAGGGCTAGGGCCTCGAGGATGAGGCCCAGGGAGGGGGGAGCCCAAAACTTATCTACAGAAATGGAACTGAATACCAGAAGCCTGCACAGGCAAATCAGTGGACTCGGAGAACAACTTGGCCAGGCCAAAGCTACAATCTCAGCAAACGAAAAAACAATCGCAGAGCTAAGACAGCTAAACAACAGTCAACGGTGTACAATCGAGATGGCGAACCACACCTTGGAAAAGGTGAGGATAAGATAGTGGAAAGCAGATGACAAGTTCAATAGGCTTTGGAGGTCCATGCGTTCGGCAGGACGGGAACTATTGAAACTTGGGTATAAAGCCTAATGGGACTCAGGCTTAAGGGGAGAAGAACTAATGTCACGAACGTGATTTGGTATGGAAAAGGTTTTCACGTGGCTTATGATTATGAGTCATAGGTATGTTATTGTTTCATGCATATGACTCATTTGGGTCATATGACTTATTATGTTATGATTTGTTATATTTCGCACATGACTCGATTATAAGTTATGAGACATACGCCTGGTGAGTATGCCTTGCAAGTGGGCCTTGCGGGTATGCCTTGCACATATGATTTATGATTTGCACATGACCTCGTTATGAAGTCATGAGTTTCATGCATATGACTTAGTCGAGTCATATGACTTGTTTATTGCGTTCTCAATAGAAGACAAAGGTCTTGTACTATCGGTAACATAGATAGAGGCCTAGTACTATCATATGACTAAGAAAAGAAACAGAAGAAGAGAAGTATCGTTCCCCATCACCAAGAACTAACTATCCAAGGAGGGATCATTACAGCTAGCATCTTCCAATACTACCTTACTCAATCCTAAGCTGTGGGAGCAACAGGTAGCCGGATATTATTTAGATTTATGGATTCCCTCTTCAGGTTCAGGTACCCTCTATCTTCCACCTGTCTTAGAAAATCCAAAAGGAAGACCCAGAATAGTATGTCACAAGCCAGACAATTAAAAAAATCAGATACAGCTCTAGTAATAGAGTAGTCAATTCCCAGAAATTCCAGATTCTGGTATCTAACATTGCTCAACATATCAAACAGGACATAATTCACGATACTGTTACCGGCCACCCAATTCCAACTTACTCCTAGCCGGCCTTTTCCACTCTCCCTACATCCACTAACCTGACTGAAATAGGAAGAGGAGAGGATAATTCAGCTTCAGGTATCAACAATCAGGAAGGGAGGATTTAGCTTCTGGAATCTTTAGTAGAGGGTTCTGTATACTCAAGCCAATTGAGCAATTGTATTTCTAACCTTTAATTTTCACCTTATCTTTTTATCTAAACACTGTATTCAACATCACTGTTTACCATCAATCATATCAGGCAGAATTTTCACCACTGAAATGCTTTGTATTTCTTGGTACTTTTACTTTTTCAAATGGGAAGTTATTTTATTATTCTTTTATTTACTATAGGCAGGGTAATATGACATCCCCTTCACCCTAGACTTTAAACTCTCCAAATAGTTCCACTCCATGAATTCTAACTAATAGGTATTATGTCATGACAGGCAATGAGTACTCCTACCTTTGAATTCGCGGACATTGTGTCAGTTTTCCCTAACTATGTTGAAGTACGAACTGGGGAAAGACTCAGAATGTGCTAGGACGAAATAGTTGGTAATGTTTGACAAATCTGCTCTAGTCATGAGGCTCCTACAACCTTATCTCGTGTCCAACTGTCAACACCCCTCCAGGTTCCCCTATAACATACTCATTAAACAAGTTAATTCACATCTTCCTCCTTGAAAGTGATCTAACCTCTAATCCGCTTTAATTTACTCTTCACCCTCAGTCGGCGCACTAGTAACTTGAAAGCTCACACTATCGTCCTGCTATATACACACGTCCGGGGCATTCATTGTCTTGAACGAGAAACCATGCCGCCCAGGCGTAACACGGGCAGCGAGGCTGCAGTGAGACAAGCCGGGTTGCATGCCGTAGTATAATGTAGCCGAGAGTATGGGGAGCAACATGCCGATATAGGGAGAAAGAGGAGGGAGGTTCATGGTATCATAATGAACGAGATGGTCGCTCAGACAGCAGATGTTGAGAATAGCAGTTAAGTGCCCATAGCTGGAAACTACGGTGGTGTACGTACCTCTCATATGTGGACGCATAAGTGGTGAAAAGTTTTCACCTCTATATTTTCTTCTTTCTTTTCTCTTCTTTCTCTCCCAGAAGTCAAACAACTCCACTTCACACCACTTGTCCAAAACTCTCTTTGCTTCTCTTTCCTCTTTTTTTTTTTTTTCACTCACATAATACAAGGTTCTTTTATCCCTATCAGAGCCAACTCTATCCACTGTGTAAACCTGCCTTCCAGTCATTACTGTTGCAACAACTACCAGTTTTATCTTGTCCATCTCCCTCAATTTCCTACAGCAGATATCTATGGGCTTCCGAGTGATCGAGAATGATTGATTTAACAATACCATAGTTTTCAGGACGTGTGTATATATTGACACAGACCTGACAGGACATTAGCGTATCATATCTACCAGCAGCCTCTACACCCACGCAGTCGGACTGCGCTGGAGTCATATGTTATCTTCACCACTATCACTTCTCGCTGTGGGGGTTGAAGAGGTCCCCCTCGTGCAGATCTTACTACAGATCCCGAGTGTACAGACACTTGTATTCTAACCCGGGTAGTTGCATCCAATTTGGTAGGCGGGTTCAAAAAAACGGGGGGCAGGCCTATATAACTCCCGTCTCTCACACTCCTGAATTCGCCTGGTAACCTGCGAACCCTGATGAGGTCCGGAATTTCAATAGCAATCGTAATGGGGAAAGGAAGAAAGGAGAAGCAGAGGAAGGAGGGATGGTTGCTGACGGAGGTAGAGAGGAAGAACAGGTAGAGTGGAGAGGTGTAAATGAGTCGAAATTGAAGGTAGGGGATAGCAGGTGAGGATGGAAAAGGAGGGTAGGAGGGAGGATTCTACCCCCTGCTGCACCATCAATACCAGTTAGCAGCTTTGCACTACAAGGAGCTAGGTCACCGTTATTAGTGATATGTAGCCTGCTCAGTGCACTGATGTGGATGTCTGTTCGGACCTTTAGTCTAAGGTTCGCTCCATCTAGCATATCCGGAAAAGAGGGAACTACTTATGGTAGAAGATCAAGAAATTTCTCAAAACCATCACCTGTTCGCTAGCAAATAGCGAAGGGGAAAAAAATACTTTCTCTGCGATCTCTCATTACCAAGACTCCCGCCCCACCCGGAGCTTTCCGCCAATAATAATACTACCACCTCCGGTATCATACCTCCTATAGTCAACTCGGTAGTCCTTATGCGGCCAACTGCACTCACCCACAAGTCACGCTTTGAGCGCCATCCAGCACCAACAACCGCTTAGCAACCCCAGAATCCCGGGGGGCGCCCCCAATGGTATAATAGTCTAGACAAAGCGGAAGTATCATACGTGGGGGGGGGGTATGTATAGGGTAGCTGAAGGTAACCGAGTGGGGGCTATCTGTACCAGGCAGGAAGGGTATTTAGGAGATGAAAGAACACTGAATAGGAAGGGATACAGAGAGATTTTCCTGGTCTGGACTCGCATGTGAGAATGATGTGCCACGTAGATAACTTCACCTAACCCCCAAGTGGGTAAGCAAATGGCCCGAAGAAGAATCACAGGAGATCACTCTTTTACATTCCGAAAATCCATATTCGGGACTGCTACTACACGCTTGTGACAAGTGGTATAGTCCTTTTCCTTCAGCGCATCTTAAGTTTTCCCAGTATGCAGTACCGGTCCATGAGTTCAAATCCCTTCAAGGGCTCGAATTTATATACAACAATTCCTTCCACTTCTATGATTTGACCCTCGATTCGCCCAATCACTCAAGTTGGCTTACCAATCCCAACACTCCCTACGAGTAGACTATCTTCTATGCCATTCTCTTTTCGTTTGTTCCCGATCAGTTTATAACATGCAAGTGTTGTACTCGAGTACACAAACTGGTTGTTGAAATGCTTTATTTCAATAAAGTCCTTTTTGACATTAATTATTCCCTACTATTGCCTAACTGGGATTATCGGTTGCGATGTTCAGGGCATTGAGTCCGGAGGCCACGTCGAATGTCATGAGTGAGACAGACAATTTTGGTGTGGAGAATGGATAGATGGCAATTCTACCTTAAGTGAGGTGATGCGGCCGAAACCGGAGCGCCCCCCCTCGGCGGGGCAGCGTGATGCCCACCAGCCTTCATTATGCTCACGCTCGAGATGCTCTCCTGCAACGTATAGCTTTGCCTTTTATCAAGCTCTTCTCCTGATGGGATGTAACTTACCCACTAGATTGCCTACAAGTCCTCCGGGCTAGAAAATAACTACTCTCTAAGGTTCTAGAGGTTCTAGCAATTAAAGATGCGTCAGCATGATTCCCTGCGACCTTTTTCTTGCATATTCAGAAGCTTGATCTCACTCCCCCAAATCTCAACTTAGGACCACGTCAAGACAAAGCACTCGGCGAGGAAAAAAATAAAGCAAGTATCAGCTAGCAAGATAAAAGGTTCCATGCAAGCCACATGCGTGGAGGTAAATAAGAGCAAGTCATTAAGACCTCTCGCATATTGAAAGAAAAGAAAAAAAAGTCACCCCAGCTGTCCGCATGAGCGTGTAACTCAAGCATGTGGGAGTGAACGGGCGCCTGATGGCGAAATACTCGAATAGAGGTCTCCCCACCCGGCTCCACATAAAACTGGTGAGAAAATTTATGCGGCATCTAAGGTCCTCAAGAGTTGGATCCTAGTGCTGCGTGATCACAGGCAGTTCCAGATAAATCACAACAGCACTCGAGTAGTATCTTTGGGAGACTGGATTCATGGTCGCCCAGGCTGACAACGGATATCTAAGGAATGACACCGATCTGACAAGCCCCAACAAGATACAAACACGGCGGCTAACCAATCACAAACAGACCCAATACTAGAAATAGTAAATATATATATAGTTGTAGTAAAGCCACTTTAATTCTCACTCGGTGTATCTCGCATGTCGATCTATCCTGCGTATCACAAGGAGGAAAGACCGAAAGGGAAAAAAAATAAACCAAACAGGATAATTCACTACCCCTAGCCTCTTCCGAACTCCGAAGAAAATTTTCAAGATGAAACGGCGGCGGATGACCGATCAACTTAGACTACCAGTTTAATTTGCGCCCCAGCTGTAGAAGTGGACGCAGAACCAGGGCTCACCGCCTCTTCCCCCTCAGCATTTTGCTGCTTGGCCGCTAATTTCCCCTTCTTTTTCCCCTTCCTTTTCCCCTCCTTTGTGTCCTGTGCGGCTACATCTTGCTTACCGCCGTACCTGCTCTTCCATTCTTGAACCTGCTTCTCTTCGATTCTGCTAAAAAGGTATTCGGCTCTTCCGATAACGTGGCCCGGAAGCAGACCATCGACATCCCAAACATCTGGGATAGACCGGTGCGGTGCATTGAGTTGCTTGACTATCGATTCGGAAGTTGCAGGCATGTATGGATAGATGAGGGCAGAGAGGAGGTATATGAGATTGATGCCGAAACCAACTACGGCAGCTGCCTTCTTAGGAGAGTTTGTGAACAGTGCGTTGTCTAATTTGTTGTCCTGCAAGAACCTATTGCCTTCACCGGAAATTGCCATAGCCCTCTCAAGACCAGCACGGATATGAACATTTTCGAGCTCCTCAATATAGGATTTCAGCAGCGCATTGACTGATTCCTTATATTGACCGAAGGATATATCATTGATCCCGATAGTGTAATCGGGAACCACCCCAGCATATTTAGCATTAATAAACTTGATGAGACGATTAACAAAATTTCCGAGGTTCGCTAGAAGCTCGGAATTGTTCTTGGTAGCAAAATCTTGCCAAACAAACTGTGTATCTCCCGTCTCTGGGCGGGAGGACAAAAGGTAGTAACGCCAAACCTGATAAAGTCAGTTGTAATTGCTTCTTTAATGATGGAATATTAGGTACCATACACTAGGTGGAACACCGGTGTCTCGCGCATTGTTTCCAAACACACCAACCCCTCTGCTCTTAGAGAACTTGCCCCCCTCATATTGCAGATACTCCGTAGTACTGATATGATGCAACATAGTCCAGTTTCCCTCTCGAGTGCCAATTTCACTTCCGGGGAAAACAACAGTGTGGAAAGGAACATTGTCTTTGCCCATGAACTGATAGAGCTTGACTTCGTCCTTATTCTTCCACCATTTCTCCCATTCCTTGGTGTAATTGGCAGTAATAGAGACGTATCCAATGCAAGCATCAAACCAAACGTACATAACCTTATCCTCATAACCTGGGACGGGCACCGGAGTTCCCCAAGTAAGATCGCGCGTTATGCAACGTGGTTTAAGCCCAGTCTTTAGCCAAGATTCAGTGATTATCCGGCCATTCTTAGACCATTGGCCCTCTTCAGAAGCCTTGCTAACCCACTCCTCAATTTCGGGTTGGAGTTTGTCGAGTTGAATGAAGATGTGTTTTGAGTCACGTTTGATAGGACCGGTTCCATCAAGCTTGCATCTCGGGTTTATAAGTTCAAAAGGATCCAGTAGAAGACCGCAAGTGTCGCACTGGTCACCTCTTGCATCCTCATAACCACACTTGGGACATGTACCTTCAACAAATCTGTCGGCCAAGAATCCTTGATGCTTCTCACAAAACAGTTGAGTCATAGACTCTTCGACTAACAAATCGTTTTTCTGAAGGTTTAGGAAGATGTCTTGAGCAATCTCAGTCTGAGCATCCGTCGTGGTCCTGCCAAAATAATCGAATCCAATACCAAACCATTTGTAGATCTCGGCATGGATCACGTTGTACTTGTCGCATAGGGCCCGAGGGGTGATACCCTCCTCTAGAGCCTTGGTCTCTGTGGCAGTTCCATACTCATCAGTTCCGCAAATATAGAGAGTATTGTAATTGCGAGCCTTTGCGTATCTGAGTGATTGTTAGTGAAAGATTCACCAAACACAATAAATAGCACCTCTATTACCTAGAAAATGCATCTGCACTGAGAACGCTCCCAACAATATTCCCAAGGTGAGGCACGTTGTTAACATAAGGAAGAGCAGCGGTAATTAGAACATTTCTCTCGCCAGGAACCGGGAGTCTATCCGTAGAATCAGCTTTATGCAGGCACTATATGGCATATGACCGTTTTTCGGGGGCTTACATAGGTTCGTTAGGATCCCTAATCTTCATGTTCGTACCCTCTTTGATCCTCCGAACCATCTTACGTTGTCTGTCATCTACCAGAACTGAAATGCTCTTTACAGCACCTTTACCAGCACCCTTCTCAGAACCTTCCTCAGCGCTCTTTGTAACTAACTTGTCTGCTGTGTGAGTAGCAGCTTGTTCAATTCCGATCTTGGCCCATTCTGTTCCAATGATTCTAGTGAGCCAGCTCGAGAGAGTAGATTTGTTATCTGAAGCCGAGGTTGAAGCCAAATCCCACAAATTTGAGAAGAGAACTATTTCCCCAGGACTCGGAGGGAGTGTTGGGTCCTGGATAAAACACAGAGATTAGTAAAGTAGGACTGCCCTCAACTCCGGGGATATTCCTACTGCTGGGAAATTTGCTTTGGAAATGACGCTCTCGGCGACGCCCGCAGCCTTGATTCCTTGTCCGGACTCCTCAAACTCAATGAGAGCAGAGTCTTTCAAGGCCTCCTCTCCAGATTTCAACCAAGGCTTTGACCCAACAGTAGCAAAGTACCGAACGATAGCGTTCGCGTCTATTAGAATTTTGCTCTCTTTTGGAACTTCAAGACTTATGTTGGTCTGTCCGGAAACTATGTGAAAATAAGTCATGAGTCATAACAGTAAATGAAGTGGAAACAAACCTTTGACAAACTGAACCGGAACCCCATAGGCAGATGCCGCGAGGCAAACTTTAAGAGCCTGAATGAAGGCCGTGGATCCCGAAGGAGCAGGAATTGGAATGTTGACTTTAAGGGACGCCATTTTGGCAAAAGCCTGTGCCTAAAGGTTTGCGCTATGGTTTAATACAAGTGATAGGATTGAGTTCTGAGGGTACTGGGTTTCTGGAGGTTCTTCTGGGGATATTTACAGTGGATAAATAGTCCGCTGTTCCTGTTCAAAATCCCACCGATTAGATGACGTGATATTCGTGATTTGCAGAGGATCCGAGTGAGTAGAGAAAGAGGTTGGTCGAGATGAGTGTAAGCGGTAAATGTCAAAAGGTAAATTTCATTGGGTGAGAGTGGGGTGTCGCTACCCTACTTATCGCTGCCCCGCCGTCGACCCCTAACTCCCACCGAAATCTAAATTCAATTCTCGTCAGCACCGCACAAAATTAAAAATCGGTTGGTCTCCCTCCCCTGCTCCCGAGGGCTCCCGCACCAGCAAAAGGCAATGGTAGACTTTTTTGACCCGCTTCTTTCCTTGGAGGAAGAGTATGATTTCCATCCTTCCACGAAATTCATCCGTTATCATGTAGCTAATACGTATCATACAGCTACTATCAAGAAGGATATGCCCATGGTCTTGCTGACGGCGAGAAGGTAGGGAGAATAGAGGGTCGGGTATTCGGTCTTGAAAAGGGCTTTGAAAAGTTCTTGGAGCTTGGAAAGCTTCAAGGCCGGTGCTCGGTCTGGAAAGCGAGGCTAAAGCCATTACATACCCCCTCCGTTACTCCTATAACCGCCCCACATGGTGCAGAAAACAATTTCCAGATCACCAACCCAAGGGCTCAGAGACAAATCGAATCGCTAGCACTTCTACTCACACACCCACCTTTCAAGAACGACGGACAGTCTGTGGAGGAAGTCGAGGAGACTCTTAAGAGGGGCAAGGGGAAAGGAAAAGTCTTGATGAATATGCTGAATGAGAAGGACGAGCAGAATGATGGTAAAGCTGGCGGCGCAGTGGCAAGTGCGGAGGAAAGCATCGAAGATGCAGGAAGAGGTGCCCGCGGTGCTGGCAGAATATAACCCCCATCAGAGCTAGTAAATATGACTGTAGTTCTACTGTAATATCTAGAATTGTCCTCCCTCTGAATGGAGATAACTTTTACTCAAAGCAACGGAAAATTTTTCCAGGGCTTCAACCTATGATAGAAGATATTACCGCCATCTGGTATGGAGACCATAATATTATTATGTTCTATTATTTTCCCTGTGATATTAACAGTATGATATGTCTGGGGATTCCCGCAGATTTGGCACAAGACATTGCACATGGCAACACCTTGAAGGTAAGGAAAGGCTTCTGTAAGTTATCATACTCGAGTAAATTATATAGATAATGCCAAAGATCATATTCTCCACCAAAGAGACACAAGACAACCTAGAGAAATAGTGCAAAGGGACTAGCCTCCTGTAAATTAAAAACTGGCCATATTCCAAAAATGCTGTATCCCATGCAATTATCACAAGACTGTGAGTTTATACAACTCCTAGTCTATACAATAGCGTTGTTTCCCCTTGTCCCTGTGCCCAAACCTGCCAACGCGCCACATCGACCGAAGCCTACGGATGGCGCCACACCTTGCTTTCTCTCTCTTGGAGAAACAACCCTCCACTCGACAACCCCCATTCACCATCTCCTTCTACCCACAAACAACCTCTCATTGAACTTCCAACACTTAAGAACCTACAATCCAACCATCCTTTTCCACCCTTCATCACCAACCGAACCGGTAGAAATCCGCAGCCATACTCCTCTTTCTACTACCCTGTTTTATCTCCCTGCCACTCAATATGGTACTCCTATTCTATTTCCCCTTCCCCTCTTCTACCCATCCCCCATTTCGACCCAGAGAAAATGGAGCTTAGCTACATCCCCACCCCATTCCTGTTTCCACGTTCTGCACGCTGACATTTCCACCATCAACGCCATAAAACAGCTCGGCAAAATCGCCCACTACAGCTTTGACGCAATCTTATTCTCCGCCTTTCTAGCAGGCGTTAAGCGGTCCACCGGTCTCACGTACTAGAACCCCCTCCCCCCCTATATATCTCATATGACCCACCTAATATTCCTCCAGAGTCTCCTCGTTTGCAAACTCTAGCTCTTAATAAATGGGCGAAACTAACCACTAAACTTAGTTTCCAAACCGAGAAGATTGAATCCAAAGACGTCCGCTCCGCAATCGACAAATACCTCAACATTGGAGAATGGTTTATGGATCAGAGCATTGCCGCGATGGGCAGCAGCAATTACTTTGAGAGGAGACGATAATCTACTCATTCCTTTACGGCGGGGGGGTTCACGAATGATGATTGGATGGTTTTCTCCTGTTCGACAAAAAAAGAAAAAAAGAAAACCCGTATGAAAATAAATAAAAGTTCGGTGGATGTCCTGGGAAGGAAAAACGATTCGATGACTATATACTGGGTTTGGATCATTGGGTCGGTTTCACGTTCTTTGCCTTTTTCTTCTTCACTTCGAAACTGTCACTGCGCTCGTTCAAAGGGTACATGGAATTGGTGTTTTTCTCTCTCCCCTCTTATTCTCTTTGTTTAGCTATGATATAATTCTCTCGTGGCTTCCACGCCGTATTTTACCACCCTCCACTCCTTTTATTTCCAGACCTACTATTGCCGTGCCGCCCCCAGAAGCTCAAGATATCAGCTTCCTCTTCCTTCCAACTACTACAGATGCACGTAACCGGATGGCCGGGCAGATCGACGGACGGATGGGGAAACCTGGGTTTTTTTCTCCTTTGTTTCTTGTTCTTCCTCGTATATTGGAGTACAATAAGAAATTTACATTTATACATCAGCTCAATTGATCGCCGCATTCGAGAATGTTATGACGGCTAGAGTACAATTGAGCAACTTGATATAAAATACAGCCAGCCAGCCAGTCAACGCCTCATAGGAATGTAATTATATATCCGGCACGTGCTAACACTGGAAAGAGGTGTCGAAGAGAGAAGGTGAAGAATAGGAAGGAAAACAAAAGCTGAAAAAAAGAAAAAAGAAAAAAGAAAAAAAAAGTGGAGTCGTAGAGTAAAAAATGAAAATAAAGAGCGAAAGGCATTTCCAGACAGCAGCGTATACAGAGGTTGCGATGATCCATAAACCCACCGCATCCTCCTCTACCTGTAAAACTCCGGCCTCCTAGTATTCACCCCATACTCCCCAACCGCACTTCCCAGATCCTCCATGGTCAACACCGTCCTTCCGGCACTGCCGCCACCACCCCCACCCCCGCCATACCCAGGCCTAGCGGTGGGTCTTAGCGTAGCCCCAGCACCCCCAGCCACACTGCCAATACCGCCAACCGCACCAGCCAACGCGCCAACCCCAGGGACCCCCCCACCAGTATTCGAAGAGGTTTGTCGAATGCGCGAGTACTGGTACGCATCCGTAGCGATGTCTGCGATAAACTTTTGCGTGGCAAGTGCGAGCAACCGCTTCAAGCGGGGATCATTGGTGTTGAGGCCTGAGAGAGAGAGGTAGTAGTCTGTTACTGCATCAGGGATCTATATGCCACTCCGTTAGCCTTATGCCCATGAAAAATGGCGGAGAGGGAGGGAGGAGGGGCGGGGTTACGATAGGAGCATACTCCTCCATCATCCCAAGGAATTCCCTTAGGGTGCGGTCTTTCTTTGGCATTGGTGGCGGCGCCGGTTGGGCAATTCCGACCAGGCCGCCGGGAGCGTCAGGAACGGTACTACTGGTTTGGAAACTGGAAGTTTGGTTTTCCATTTCTGTGTCTTCTTCGCCAGTAGCGCCGGATTGGTTGTAGGTTGTAGAGGGGTCGGTTTGGTTGGTCATTGTTGTCGTTTCTTTTTTTCTATCTCTCCTCTTGTGAATAGCTTGCGGGCGTTGTTGTGATTGTGGGGAGGAGGGGTGGTGGTGTCTGCCGGTTAAGAAGTCAGGGAAGAAAGGAAAGGAAGAGGGAAGGAAGAAAGGGTTTGAGGCTTGTGCGGTTTCGGTGGTTACCGCTAGAGCCTCACAAGGAAGGGTGCACACGGGGATCGACGCGCTCCGAGGAGGGGGTGAACGATATTTGTATAATGGCGAGTGCCTCTCTCTTTCTGTTTTTCCCGAGTATGGGATTGGGGGATTAAATTACGGTAGGGTTGGATAATACCGGTAGGAGTCGGTAGCGCTCGATTACTCCCCCTGTCTCCCCCTTAAAAGAAAATTTGCAGGGTTAGAGTAACGAGGCCAGCTGGTACAAAGGTGATGCGATTAGGATGAGATAGTCCCAAAGGCGTGCAGAGGCGGCGGCTATATTAAGTGAAGGGAGGGAGGGCTCGTTGAAAGAAGGTTGAGGCTGTTTGGGTATGTTTGGAGCTGTGCGCAACCGTCGCGATTTTGTCGACCCTGGACCTTTTTTGACCTCCAACATGCGCAGGATGAGCTGTCGATGACTAATTATCGAGCGCTGTTTCCTAAAGATACCCCAGAAACAACTCATTAAGAATCCATACTGTTCACTTTTGGTACAGTGCAATATTAAAAGCAAAGAAATGAAAGTAAGTTTAAGCCAGTCATTATTGACGTGTTGAAACAGCTCTTATTTTCCCTAAATCCAAATCTCCCACTACCACTCCTATTCAAGCCTTTGGATATACAACTTACTACGGCATAAGCGCCCTAGACATGATTTTTCCTTTCTCCCGTACCGTACCCTCAATCCCCAACTTGAATTGAACGCCCACCAAAATGCAAATAAAGATCGAACGGCCAATCCATCGAGACATGAACAGAAAATAAGACAATAAACAGTGCGGTGTTGAAACTAAAATATGGGGATGCCGAAATACAGCGATAAGACCTTCTCACTTTGGCATTAGAATTTTGGCATTACCAACCTATTGACTGCAGGTATTAACACCCACGTACGAGGTTGGACAACGAAAATTTTCTAGAAAAGAGAACAGGAAAGAACCGATGGCAATAAATTCAAAAAAAACTAAAATAAAAAACAAAAGAAGATAGATCAGAAACTAATGTTACTAATACAGAACTCTCGTCATTATTTTAGCTGCGAAGCATGTTAGTGCCTATTCATATGTGTATGCCAGTTAACCAACTTACAACTCAAGGCTTCCAAGCTCTCGTAGAGACTGCGGATATCTCCAGCATTGACATCACTAATGTCTGCCATCAAATATGCGACGTCGCCTCGACTATCGCTCATTTGCTTGTCCACGTTGTGGTCCCCAAGAATAGAGTTGACTTGCCTCAGAACACCAGGCCTATTGCTATGGATGAATATAACACGGACGTGGTTCTCCTCTGCAAGAGTGAGAGAACGAAGAGTCACCTCCGGCATATTAACACACCCTAAAAGCTATTAACTCTGTACTCATTATGCACGTTGCAGTGACTTACCAATAGTGCTTCCAGAGTTGATATACCGGACTAGGGCTTCTCCAACCTCAATACCAATTGCGCTCTGAGCCTCTGAGACAAAACATTAGCCTCGCCTCAAAATGGTGTAAGATAACCTACCCTCAGTGCTCCCACCGATATGGGGAGTCAAAATAAGGTTCTTTAGAGATCTCAGGTCGTTACCCCAGGAGTTGAGTGTGTCATTGAAATAATCACCATTGGCCGCTGGTTCAGTTGGATAGACGTCAAGAGCTGCACCCGCGGTGTGTCCAGAGCGCATGGATTCACTTTCATGTCATGGATATTAGTCACTAGCACATTAAATATTTGGGAAATCTAGACAAACTAACACCAATGCAGGGATATCGACAACGCTTCCACGACTAGCATTTATGAGATAGCTTCCTTGCTTCATTTGAGCCAATTGCTCAGCTCCAATCATGTCCTTTGTCTCAGCAATTTCCGGAACATGAAGAGTCACAAAGTCAGCCCGTTCGAGGAGATCCTTAAGAGTAGGAACCTGCTTGGCGGTACCAAGGGCCATCAAAGGAACAACATCAAAATAAAGAACTTTCATTCCCATAGCCTCGCCCAAAACTGATAGTTGCGATCCAATATGACCATACCCAACGATCCCTAAAAGACCTATCAGCGCCCGCTCCTAACAGAGTATTTCCAGAATGAAAACTTGCCCAAGGTCTTTCCACGGATCTCCCAACACTTGGTACTGATTTTGTTCCAGGTGCCATTATGCATCTCCATCGAACGGTCGCCGAGCTGTCTCGCCAGAGCGATAATCTCAGAGATGACAAGCTCGGCAACACTTCTGGAATTACTGAACGGGGAGTTGAAGACCGAGATACCGTGCTTGGCAGCATACTCGAGATCCACCTGATTAGTACCAATGCAAAAGCACCCAATCACAAGCAGATTCTTCGCCTCACGCAACACCTTCGCAGAGAGCTTTGTCTTTGAGCGGATTCCAATAACATGAACATCCCTGGTTGTTTGAAGAAGAAAAAAAACAAAACACAGAATTAGCCGAATGTCTTATTTCCTTCTGTCTTCCTGCTTGAGCCGCATGGGTTCACTATCGATAATGTTTTCTTGGTACTGAGCCAGACAGGGGGTATGACGAAATCGACACGGGAGCCCGAATTTTTTTTTTTTTTTGAGGGATGGAACAGGGACAGAACGAAAAAGGAGTCACTCACCGAATTTTTTCAATAAGCTGGTCTTCTGGTAAGGAAGACTTGTGAAATTCAACCTGGTAGCCTTGAGACTCTAAAATTTCTCTTGCCGCGATGTTAACGTTTTCGAAGAGCACAATTTTAATATCCTGCGTGTTAAACGGTTTCAATTGTTTTCCCGAAGGTCGGTTGAGCGTAGTCCTAGAGCTGTACGAGCCCACCGGAGAGTGGAAAACGGAGGTGGGCGAATTGGACAGGCTAAGTGTGTGAGATATGGCATGAGCAAGCCCATTCACTTCGATTTGCTGTGGGTCTGTCATGTTCTCACAATTTCGGCAGTTTTCGTGGTGATTGTGGTTGTTGTTGCTATCGGAGGAGGAATTTTTTGAATTGATAGGAATGCTCTGTTGAAGAGTTTCCAAATGGTGGCGGTTATCTTTTTCATCTGGTGGGGTTGGCGGAGCCCTTCTTAGAATAGCCACTGGACTCGAGTCACGAGCACTCGTGTCTGTGCTGCTGGTAGGGCTGCCGCTACGGGCAATGGCACCGGAGAAACCTCCAGACGTTCCTCTCTCCCCATCTAGAGAGGACCGGAATCCCTGAAATAATGACCTGATTTTACTCGACATTGATAAAGGATTTTCCTTCCTTTCCCTATATGTATGAGAGATAAGTCTTCCCGGTGGCGATTTATTCTCTTCTATGACAATTTCCTTACTTGGCTGGAGAACTGAGAGTAAAAATGTCAAATACCTTCCTCAAGAGTGTAACAAAAAGAAGTGGTCGTAGTCCGTGAATACCTAGAAGCAAATTCTAACTAAATGATATCCTACTAATGGACCACTCTTATATAACTAACAGCAAAGCTTTGGACCAATAGTAACCATACAGCAAGAGCTAGAAAAGAAAAGAAAAGAAAAAAAGGTCCCTCGTTCCCCCTTGCCATACATAAAATGTCCATCCGAAATGGTGCAATGAAATGTGGGGCATTGAGAGAAAGACGCAGGGCGCCACCTGATCAACCCCACGAACGAAGAACCGGAGATGCTGCTTCTGCAATGCACAGCGCAGGGAAGCATATTCAGAGACTCAAATTTACACTATCGCCGAGCATAGCTTCACCGCTTATCAGGGGGTTTCCCTATTCTGAAAGATGAGCAACTCGAGCGTGGAAATTTCTTCCTCCTCAAATTTCTAGAGATTCAATACCTGTAGCTCACCTTACCCGGTGTCGAACAGGCCGTTGGTGATATGGAATTCCCGAAGAAACAACTGGGTTTCGATCTCCATGACTATCAATGATATAAAGGGTGAGCACGAGCTCAACAGAAGCCTCCGAAGCAATGAGCATCATTGCATCACTCGAGCAGCTTTGCAAAGACACACGACCCAAAAAAAATCAAAACAAAACAGAAAAAGAATAATTGTATGACATGGCTTATTTTGATAAAGGCAACGTTATACTTAATGCAATGTCTGGTTGCTAACACCTGCTAGGACAATTTCCTTACTACAAGGCATCTCTGTCCAGCAGCCTTCAAGCCCTCAACGCCCGTTGTCGCACAAGCGGCTTGACTCTGCACCCGGAGTGCCAACTGTCCTTACTCCAACGCAGAAAGGAAAACTTGTGGTTGAGTACGGCATCCCGCACGTGGTCTAAAAGAGAGCACTTCGCTAAGCATCACACACAGTATTCGAAACTCGAGCATGCCTCAACCTTTTGAACACCAGGGTGTAGAGAGAAGGAAGACTCAAGTGGTTCAAACCTGAACCCGCTACTAGTAGCAACGAATTGGCTTTCATATGAGATGGCCCCCCCTCATAGCAGCATCTGAACTTCTTTAGAACAAGCAGGATTGCTTGGCCAACACCACTGCTAATATGGCACTTGTATGATTGACCCGTGTTGACCTGGCTAGAGCCCCCCTCATCACATCTCGATGAGATGCTGGTTTTCTTTGGTTTTTTCTTCCTTTTTCATCGCCTCAAATTTGCGCATGCCTATCATACAGTATCAAATCCGCTAAGCACAAAAGGGAGCACCGGTTAGCTGCTAGCAAAAAAATTGAGCAGACCATCATCTCCACCTCCGTGGGAGCGCTCGTTCAGGATGGTTTAATAGAACAGCACGGTAAGAGCGGTAAGAGTATTCATTAGGGGCGTTTATTCCAGTCAGATATTGCAGTGTAGTTGCCCTGTAATGAGAGCGAGTCGAGGGGATAATTATCCTAGAAAACCAGGAAGGCTGTTCTAGTTGTAAAGTCCTTATCCATTTTACCATTGAAAGGGTATCCAACTCGAGTACCAATACTGTGAGATTCAGTTTTTCTAATCATCTTGAACGCTGTCATCCTAGAACCGAAATGGCAGCAGGTTTGTAAAGAGAAGGGCGTTCCATCCTGGGCGAATCATTCGCCCCATATGTATTTCCTATCACAGGCGCTTGCAGATGAAAGCTGGTAGTTTGCAGAAATAGAAAATTCCTGCACTCGAGTAAGATATTCCATGATTCTCAGGCCGTGGGCGGGGCTTTCGACATGGGTTATTGCTCACCGATCGGCTTTCCTATCCCACCGGCAGCCGGGTACTTTGCGCTTGGCACTCCCGAGCTGTCCGGATTATGCTTTGATCCCCACGGACGAAGGTGCCGGCACCTACCACCTGCAAAGACATCGCACCAAAAGACCCTCATTGCGCAGTTTCTAACCAGCGATCCGCCCCCAAGCGTAATATGTAGGAAGCCCCGCTCGGCGTATCCAGCATTCCTAAGCTCTCACTCGTTACCGTGTGTCGAGGCTCTAAGACGGAGGGAGAAGCAAGCCTCATAACTGGCCACCAATTGCCCTGCACTTCTCCCCATAAATTCAGCCGGGGGGGTCAGCGGCAGCCTTCTGTGAGCTAACCAGAATAAAGGGGGAGCGAGGTGGCATCACGTGCCGAGTGACCATCCGTGAGGATGAGCTGCTGTCGGCCACTTCCGAAGGTACTGGCACTGATTACCAGTATGATTTTCAGCAGTCCCCGGAATTGTGGAATTGATAAATTGGGAAGGTTTGGGCTGCGGTTGTGCTGTAAACTAAACTGTTCCGGTTGCCTAGATACCCGTTCTCGGTAAGCTTCATAATTTCTCCGTCGAATTGAACGCCGCTGCAGCTGTTTGGGTTAGAACTTGAGATCTTAATCACACCAGATTAGAAAAGAGTGGGTGTCGTACTCGGGCACAAAAAAACCCCACCCTGCAGAACCAAACAACCTGCCCGAACAAGGATTTAGCGCGGTACAAGTACAACTGCCCGCGGTTGTGAAAGAGACCAATTACCTGCCTTGTCTGAACACTCCACAACACATAGCTCTCAGACAGCGGAGCTTCTATTAGTTGCATTGAATTCTCGGACGGCTCGGCACCCGCGCAAACGCTTCAGTCCGCAAGGGCGATAGTGGGGTCGACAAGGTAAGCTAAATATCTGTTGAGAGAAACTAGTGATAGTGCTGTGAACTGGGCCAGTTGGATAGTTCGCAGGGGTTTCGCTGACGCGGTGCAGTACCAGCACATGTGCCAGCGGGATCGGTAATCGGAACTACTTGTTGAGGAATATTGATACTAAGAGAATTTATAATTTGAGAATTCTCCTCCTTCCGAAGAGAGGGTCGCTATCGGAAGGAGGGATATAATAAGTCGGGGCCGCAAAACGTGCTCTCGTTTGGTATCCCATGAGCAGATGAGAAATACAGGTCCCCACCTTCCATGTACGGTAGCTCTATGCTGTGGCCCAGCAACTTTGCCTCACCAAGGTCATGAAACATCAAGCGTTTTTGTGTGGAAAAGTCACTTAGCCACAGCATAGAGTTACCATATACGGGAGGCGGGGAGTCTGCATACCGGTATCTCTTCCGTCCATGGGGCAGAAAACGTAGATGGGTTGGCTACCAAAGAATTCCATTGGTCCGAGCCTGATAGAAATACAGAAAAGATGGATCCTTTGAGATTGGAATCGTTTGTGGTACGACAAAGGCATCCCATCGAGGGCGGGCTGGTTGACAGGGCTAAACATGGGGGTAGAGGTTGCAGGTCCCGCGATCCCCATTTCGTATCGTTCCAAAATCATTTTGTGCGCATCTTCTTGGGTGGGGTGTATTCCGAGGAAAGATGCAGTGACAGGCTGGTTCACAGACGGGGTGGCATTAGCAAAAATCAGGATGCGGGTGGGGGAAACTGAAACAACTCCAATAATTGGTGTGTGAGCAGTTGAAGCCTCATATCGGTACTACTTGTACTATGTACCAGTACGGTACAGTACTCGCAGCTCGCGATTTCTACAGATTCTCACCTTTTCTTTTTTCTTTTTCTTTTTTTTCTGGCTTGGATTGTCTCGGTTTTTCTCCCATTCGTCCTTCCTCTTCATTTCCCCTCTGTCTTTTCCGGTTTTCTGGCATCTTTTTGTCCACTGGCCTCTTCTTCTCTCACTTCTTCCTCCCGCGCTTCCTACAGACTCCCCCGCTTTTGATCCTCTGGGGATCAGTCTGTCATAGCATTAACCAACTCCGGGAAGAGGAAAAAAGCCTCCCGGATCAAAAAATCGGGAAAGGTTCAAGTAGGACTAATTTACGTTTTGTTTTGGTCATTTCCAACCCCTCCGGATTCTCGGGTTTTATACCGCTAGCCAAGGGTTGGTCGGTCCATCACTCAATTAATCAGCATAGCCGATTCACCCACAAAGAAACTCCCCACTCAGTACTCCCCCACCCACCGCCATCCGCTGAACTTTCGTTAATTCCCCTCTGCCCGCCAAATTTTACAGATTTGTACAGTCATAATCACCACTCCCTCCACATCCCACATTTGCTTTGGAAATGGCTGGAACCTACAGCGGCCGTCGTAGCGGGGTTAATGTTTCCTCCTACATTGAAAATCTCAACTCGATAACCGCAGACGAACCCCTTCCTGACCTTCAGGATGATCTCGCCCTGTTTACAAACATCTCATGGATCGACTATGACATGTGCCGGCCGTTGGACGACGGAACTTCCGACGCACTCAAGCGTTCGGAAGACTTTGCTGCTCTTGACCAAAAACCCAGTGATGAACAAATGAATTTCATGAATGGTATGTTATGAGTCTTATCTACCATAGCTTACATTTGCCCCTCCATGCCCCCCCACATCCGAGCACAACAGTCAATAGGCAGTCGAGAAGCAATTCTTTTCCTCGTTGTCCACCGGAGAAGAGAAAAAAATAATCCACAATGGCACGATGTTAACATACAAAACGTTTTTGTTAGATATCGACAGCAGCTTTGTGCTATCGAAATTCGCTCTTGATGGCGCATTAGAGACTCAGCCAACCACGGATATTGTAAACCCTTTTGCCCCTGATGGCACTTCCTCAATCGGTCCGGTCGACTCTGTCATGCACTCGCCCGCCTCAAATTCGCCCACCGCATATCCGCAGGCGAATAACGGCACTCGCACATCGGCCAAGCGAAAAGGGTCTGCGGTATCAGTGGCATACACCTCACCACAGGCTGACAGCTTCGAAGAGGCCTCTCGACTCGCAGCAGAAGAGGACAAGCGTCGTCGTAACACGGCAGCCTCTGCAAGGTTTCGTGTCAAGAAGAAGCAAAGGGAGCAAGCTCTGGAACGATCGGCTAAGGAAATGTCTGAGAAGGTCAGACTTTTAGAGAAAAAGATTGTTCAGTTGGAGACGGAGAACAAGTGGCTAAAGAGCCTCATCGTTGAAAAGCAGACTCCGAATAGTGGTAAGGGTGCTCAAGACCCGAGTGAAGATTTTGCTGCCAAGTCCCCCGCGGCAATGAAGGCCGGGGCCTCTTCCAATGAACCGAATACCAACCAGAACAAGGATGGCGTCGGCACAATGCCAGAGGTGAATTCCAATTGACCTGTCACTTGTCACTTGTTGTTTTGTTGCTATTTTATTGTTATTTCTTTCTATTCTATGCAGTGTTTTCCTTCTCCAATTTTTTCTTTCTTTCTTTCTGTATGTCTGACTAGGTGGTTTTTTCATATGGTATTTTTAAAAAAAGATCAGGTGGGATGGGAGGACTGATAGTGGGGAGTTATTTATGTTGTGGCGGTAGCCTTGTTTTCCCTCCCGTTTCCTTTCCCCTCACCTATTGTGCGGCGGGACTATTCCTGGGTCTGAGAATAAGTTTGCTCGTTTTCTGTTTCTTGCACATTACGTTTTAACGCTATGGTTTTTGTCTATGCATTAAGAATATCTTTATGTATGTATAAATACACGGTTCCTGTAATGGGGGATATAGACTTGATTTATGGTTATAACACGAAGTAGTGAACACGAGGCGTCTAGGGTATAATAACATTATTGAGAAATGGGCAGTAAGAGGGTCAGTTACTAGCTAGGTATGGTAGTTTCTGGCCGGGTGAAGCATCTTGCCGACTGGGCTTGACTCTGAGGGCAGCTATTCATGATAGCAAGGCTGGACAGTGCCTGCATTTATTACCGCTACGGTGATGGCCAATTATGTACTGCTATAGCTCCAATCACTTGAAAGATCTTTCTTCTAAGGTTGAACACACAGCTAGACCACCGTATTCCAGTTATTATCACGACGAATCCCCAAACAAGGCAAGTATGATACTGTACTTGTAAACAACGATATCATATCATCTGCCACACCCTCTTGCCTCTTGAACCCTAAAAGAAAGAGAAAAAAAGAAAAAAAACCGAAGGGCGAACCTCAAATCTCATGTATCATACCTGTACGAGGGTGTAAGGATAGGTGATCGGAACGCACGTGATCTGTTTTCCGATCACTTTCTTCCACACCCTCGTACTCGTACAAGGTTATTAGTCCCCGAATTTGGTCATCATTGTCACCGTTAGATTATCCCCATCAGCTTATCAGCAGCTTATCAGTACCCGCCCCCACCGTTGCCAAAACAAACCAAAAAAGCAAACCAATCAATCGATCAATTGACTCAACCCAACCGAAAATTTCCTTCCCCCATTTCCCTACCAGAACCGTAACTTACGAGTACCACCAAACCAGACCGGACCGGACCACCGCAGCCACGAAAGAAAAGAAAAGAAGGGAGTGGGGAAATCTATGTCAACTTCCATCCAAGAAGAATCCCTAACCGCCCTCTGCCCCCTCTGCCACTCCCGCCCGCCCAAGTATCGCTGCCCGGCGTGCGCCACGCGAGCATGCTCGGTGGCCTGCGTGAAGAAGCACAAACTCTACGCACAGTGCAGCGGACAAATCGACGCCGCCGCTTTCGTGAAACGCAGCGCACTGCTGTCATCGCCGGCGACGCTGAATAGGGACTTTGGGTTCTTGACGGGTGTTGAAAGGGTACTGGGGACTGCACACGGGGAAGAAAATGGTGAGGCGGGAGGGGAGAGGGTGAGGCTGGAAGAGTTTTTAAAAAGGAGCGGTGTGAGCGTTAGGTGGGCCCCTAGGGGTATGAAGAGGGCTGTGGAGAATTGTACTGCTGTGTCGAAGGGGAGGAAGGGAAAGCATGTGATTTGGACGGTGGAATGGATTATGGTTAATTCGCAGGATACTAGGGAGGTAAAGAGGGTTTTGGATGGGAGGTATACTTCGCGTTCACAGTCTGTCCTTTCCTCCTTTGTTTTGCTAGGGTTAACTATAGTAGTGTGTCGGAACATTCGTCTATTTCTCAGGCTTACTTCAACCCTACCACCACTCACGAAGACTCAGGCTCACAACTTCAACCCCCCCGCAAAAAAATTAAGAAGAACAAACAGGATACCTCACAGACAAGGTTCTACTTGAAAAAAATCGGATGTCCAGCGAATAGCCCCGTACTGATCAAACTCGACGAAAACAAGTCCCTATCAGTAGCCCTGCGAGGGAGGGCCGTGGAGGAGTTTCCGACAATAGTGGTTTGGAGAGGGGATGGGGATCCGGCGGGGTATGGGATTGAGAGTGGTATTTTGATTGAGGTTGTCGATGAAGGGGAAGGGAGAACGGGGATCGAGTCGGAGATGAGGCGGACGGGCAAAGTCCCCGATAGCCACGGTGCGCGGGAATTCCACCTTGATCACAACACCAACATTTCTCAAGTTGTTGAACCCTCCAATGAACTAGCCTCCACAGGGTAGTCAATCACGCCTAAACCAAACAACGAAAACACAGAAACTCAGACCGCCTGAGGCTCCCCTCTCCTTCCCTTCCGTGGCCTGCCTACAGGCCTACAGTCACCAAACCACAATATATGTAACATGCACACCCAATGCATTCAATATAACACCCGGAATTGGTGTCAAGTTATATACCATTGGTTTGTTTGCATCAAATCTGTATTATAATATAGCTATCTCTTCGTTTCAGAAGCCTAACCAGTAGTTGCCGAGAAGTGCTTGATGCCACTATGATACCATGCAAGGCAAAAGAGCCCGAAAACCCTCCCAGCAATACTAACCCTAGCAACATAAAATAACTGCATGAAAACCATGAAGGCACACTGAACCAGCCTGCATCACAAAGGCTCACTCACAAACCAAATAGCTGACAGCAACTCCAAATGACACATCACAACAAAGCACCACCGGTCACTCCCGTCATTACGCTCTAACCCACATTTGATAAACCTAACCTCAAGGAATTTCTTTGCAAGAAAAAAAGAGCAAAGGACGAGTCGTAATCTGATATCATTACACAAAGCTGATATCATTACACAAAGCATCATCACCAACTGACGGACCGTTCGTACCAAGCCAATTTCCTGAAAATGATCGGGAAATAGGGCTCTCTAGATACAAAATACATATGCCTGATAGCAAAAAAAACAAATAAAACTCAGGAAACAGGCAAGTTGTATGAGGATCAACTCCGATGAAAGGGAAAAGTGAAAAGGAAAGCAGAAAATACTAGTAAAAAAACCACTCCAAATCCGCAAAAAAAAAACTGATCGGGGATGCTATTTGGGCATGTTAAGGTAACCCAACATTAATTAAGAAGCAAGCAAAGCCATAAAGAAAACCCCTTCCCCAGTTGCCATCCGTTAAGTCCCAACCACCCAGTGAAAACCCCAAAGGAAAACAAAAAATGCTACACTGTTTTGTCCAACGCGTTAAGAAATAGTGACTAGTTTAAAAGTCTTCGTCAAATCTGATGACGCCTTCGCCATTGTTGGTGGGCTCCTCAGTTTTCTTTTGAGTAGACGCCATGACACCAGCTTTCTGATAGTCTCCGACACGCTTCTCGAAGAAGTTGGTTTTGCCGGCAAGAGAAATAGACTCCATAAAGTCGAATGGGTTAGTGGCATTGTAAAACTTTGGGTTACCGAGAGACAACAGAAGACGGTCGGCAACAAATTCAATATACTGCTTCATGAGCTTAGAGTTCATGCCCAAAAGAGCACAAGGAAGAGCTTCAGTCAAGAATTCTTGCTCAATGCCAACAGCCTCGACAATGATATCTTGAACAGCCTGTTGAGAAGGGCGGTTGTTCAAGTGGTTGAACAACAGACAGGCGAAGTCAGTGTGGAGGCCCTCGTCGCGGGAGATGAGCTCGTTTGAGAATGACAAGCCAGGCATCAATCCACGTTTCTAGTTATGTTATAAGTATTCTGAATGAAATGGTTTCAAAAGAGCTGGTGAGGTATTACCTTGAGCCAGAAAATAGAGGCAAAAGAGCCACTAAAGAAAATACCCTCAACGGCAGCAAAAGCGACAAGGCGCTGAGCAAAAGTGGAGTTCCTGTCTTCAATCCACCTAATAGCCCAATCGGCCTTCTTTTTGATGCAAGGAACTACAAGGCGTATGTTAGTATAGGTTGGTGAAATAGGAAGATAGAGACATACTAGTATCAATAGCATCAAATAGATATGTCCTCTGCTTGGGATCCTTGATGTAGGTATCGATGAGAAGGGAATAGGTCTCAGAGTGCACATTCTCCATCATAATTTGAAAACCGTAGAAACAACGGGCCTCAGGAATCTGAACCTCGTTACTGAAGCGTTGAACAAGGTTCTCATTGACAATACCATCAGACGCGGCAAAAAAGGCAAGAACGTGCGAGATAAAATAGCGCTCATCATCATTTAGGCGGTCGCTCCAGTCATGCATGTCCTTTGAAAGATCAATCTCCTCAGCAACCCAGAAGGAGGCCTCAGCTTTCTTGTACATTTGCCAAATCTAGAAGAGTAGGTGTTATTATCAGTTTAGGCGCATAGCACCAAAGACGGAAAGAAAGACTGAGAAACGAACCTCATGATACTTGATGGGAAAAAGGACAAAACGATGCTTGTTCTCGGTGAGAATGGGTTCGTCCATCTCCTCAGACTTAGTATCTTCCTCAGAGGGCTTCTTGAATTCAGGATCTATCTTGACACCTCCCTTTCCAGGCGACTTTACGTTCTCGAAGGCCGAGTTGAGATTCTTCTTAACAGCAGCGGCATCGTCAACAGTCATGTTGGAGAGGGCATTCGCAGCCTATTGATGCGCGTAATATGGATAGTTAGTAAGTTGGCTTTTTGACCGGTCAAAGTAGATTCAGGCGGAAAGGTACTTACCTGCTTAGAGGGGGTCATGTGGACGGTAGACATAATTGAAGGTGGTGAGATATCTAGGGATAAGGGGTGATGAAGCTGTTGCAGAGCTTATAAGGGAAAAATCGTAATTGGGGGTGAGAGGCTTGGAGTAGAAAGGAAGGATGAAAGTAGACGTGGTGAGGGGACAAGAAGAGAGAGGAAGAATTTATAAGAACGCGGAATCACAAACGCGTCTCCATGACAACGCGTCGCCGGATCAACCCGACTGAAAGATGACCTGCATCAGTCAGGGATGAGGATGCCAAGAGATATGTGCCAAGTGTAATCAACCCGGATTTGGCCAATCAGATTAACAATGATGGATCAGGTACCGTCACAGAAAATAGTGGTGGAGCGGTGCAAGACGCGATAAAGGGTGGTCTAAGAACAATTTAAGAAGCCAGATACTGTAGAGAGCGATTGTTGCCAAATACAAGTACACTCTCCATCACCAACAGTTTTGTGGGAGGGTAACACCACACAGTATGTCCAAATCTTTGAGGATAAAGGCGATAGGAATGTAGTACTGTGCCGGTACTCTATGACAGGTATGATTCTACTGTGGAAATATTTTACAAGCATCCTTCTGCATTCTTCTTTGCGAGGAATGTGGACACCCGGGCTGTCCTGGCTTGTTGATCATTTTAAGGTGACGCTTACCATATCGAAGTTGGAACCTCTTTCGTTCGGGGGGACAGGGTTTCCAGGATCCACGCTCGAGAAGTCGTGCATGGTTGCTGAGTGTTTGGCAAGTGGATTTCTGATTCCTTTGTGTGCTTTAAAATGATTTGCAAGCCAATGATTCATATAAATTCCCAACTGCCCGGGATCCGCACCTCATCACACAACGTCTTCCTGAGTACCGATGCCCGGTAAAGTTTAAACTGCCATATTGCAATAGAATATCACTCGTAATGATCTTAGATGATGCTACAGACAGCCCCAAAGCAGCATCTTGAAGCTGTAAATAGACTCTTGGAGCCAGGTTTGGCTCCATGACCAGATGTGCTGTATCCCCTCAGTAGACATCTTTTCACCAAGTACTTGTAAGAGAACCTCACAAACCCCACAAAGAGCAGCTTTTCACACATCAAGCCAACTTAAAATACCTGAAGCTGACATATCCTATGATGCTTTAGACTCAGACACCTCTAAGATCCTACTAACACCAATACTGGGTAATCTTTTTCACAAAGCTAACATAATCAGATTCTAAATAAAAAAAAAGCATATTTTTCACCAAGTTAGTCATCCCTGCAAAACTCATAAAACTTGTATTCTTATTTTCACACCAAGGCTGGGTATTTGATTGTTAAGCTAGATACCAAAAACCAAGCCAAGCTGTATTGTATTTTTGTATTTTTATACAAAGCTGTCATAATATTATTTAGGCTCCCTTTGTCATGTACCAATAAAAATATATTACAATAAAAGTTGAAAATAGCATATATGCTAATAAAAAAATTCAATATATAAAAAAATATATAAGTATTTGGCAACTATGCCATACAGCTATGTAAAAGAAAAAAAAAAAGTCATCATACAACTCAACTTAAGACACATACCAAAATCAAACATGTAGTACAAAAAGGCTTTGCTTTTATTTTACTCCCTTTCTAATATACCACAAGGCCATTATAATAATTCAAAATTTCCTCTACATTCACCTCTTTATTCTCTACGATTTGATCTTTCCTACTCAGACTAGGTATATCCTACACCTCTCTGAATTCTTTATCCTATATTATTTTGATACAATACTAATAGTTTTTTCACATTCAGATCAAGCCAGAATGGGGAATAGCGTGTGGGTTGAAGATAGGAAAAGATGTCTGGTTGAGGTACTTCTTCGGTATGTTGACAATGGTGATAGAGGGGAGAATGAGTTTAAGAACTCAGTTTGGCAAAGCATTGTTGGAGAACTGAATGAGACCTACAAGGTGGTTAGTTCAAAGCAATTTACCATCCCTAAGGCTAAAAGTAAAGAAGTCATTGTAAGTTCCTATTGTATTAACTCTTAATTTGGTTAAAGTCATTAGGAAAAATAAATCAAAGACTGATATATTAATATCACAGTTGAATAAAGAGTTTGAGATTGTTCATTCTATGTACAGTCACTCGGCAGAAGTGTTTGTGAAACCGGTCTCAGATAACTAAGCTGTGTCACCAAAATGCCACCTTTCAATGAAGTGTAAAGTTGATCGTGACCGTTTACCCTATCGTGACCATGACCATTCACAAATCTACACCCACTGAAGCCTCCTTTACCTAATTAATTAATTTATTAATTTTTTCTACCTTTTTTACCAATGGTTAAGCGTTCTGAAAATATGGAGTATGCTATAAAAAAAAGACCCCCACCTAAAACCACCCAGAGAGAAATGAGCCTTGCAGAGAAGGGCATGATAATTGCCTTTTTCTGCTGCCTCCAGAACATTTCCTTAGTGGCTCAAATTATTAGACACCTATAGACAACAGTTAAGAGCTTTCTTATCCGGACATGTGAACGCCAATCTCTTGAAAATCTCCCTTGCCCCGGTCACACCCCCATGTTGAGTGGTCAACAGTGTCGCACAATTATACAGGCAGCCAAGTCCAATCAGAAAATGACTAGATGCGATTTCAGGGATTGCTATACACCCGGTGTTTCTCTTGATACTGGTAACTCTTTATGCTACTCAGAGTAACTGGATATGATTGCCTACTAAATTTGCCTGCATAGTGGACCGGGTACTCAGAAAAGCAAACATTAAAAAATGGATAGCCAAGTCAAGACCTAGGCTAAAGCCTGAACATGTGGCTAAGAGATTGAGATGGGCTATAGCTTATAGGGACTGGACAGCTGAGGATTTTGAAAGGATGATTTGGAGTGATGAGTACAGTGTGGAGAAATCCAAGGATCCAAAGCAACAATGGGTATTCAGAGAACCTGCAGAGAAGTGGTTGGCTGATTGTATACACCTAAAGGAGGAGGATAAGGGAATCTCACTTATGGTTTGGGGGTGCTTTTGGGGTAAAAGAAAAGGTCTATTAGTTCTTATTACTCAAACTATCAATAAGATCAGGTATGTTAGACTTTTGAGAAGATATCTTTTTCCTGTTATTCATCAAATGATTTCCTTTGGTATACAACTTGAAGATGTTCTTTTTCAGCAAGATAATGCTCCTGTTCACAAGGCATATAGTATTATAGATTGGTTGAAGAGAAATAGTATTGAGGTTGTAGACTACCTCCCTTATTCTCCTGATTTAAATCCTATTGAGCATATATGGGTTGAGTTTAAAAAGCAATTGCACCAGCAGTATTTAAGGATTGCAGATACTCTTGGAGGAAAAGAGGCTGTTAGGAGAAGACTTGCACATGTATTACCATTGGTTTGGGAGACAATTCCTGAGGAGGTTTTCGAAAAGTTGTGGAAATCAATGCCTGATAGGGTGGCTGCAGTTTTAGAAGCAAGGGGAGGTTATACAAAATATTAGCTAGTTTAATTTATAGCAGGTCAATTGACTGTTGAATGTTGAAAAATGCCCATAGTTGTTGATCGTGAACTTGAACTCGGGTGCGTGCATGTCCATTGACAACCTCACTGACACTGCCCCACTATATGGTACAACCGCAATTAAACATTGTCTCAGATCACAAACACTTCTGCCGAGTGACTGTATCAAAACTCTGAGTTCGAGTAGGATGATATCAAGGGTTTGCCAACAGCCTCCTCAGAGGTTTGGAGAATATATTTAGAAATAAGTTCTTTGTCAATCTTATTGACATTTATTCTTTAAAGTTTGACAACTAATAAAAGAATATTGATTTCCTAGAGTCATATGGAGGCTGCTAAGTATTAGCAGAAAGGGTTTCCCCTGTATGATCTCTTGGCATGTCTTTTTCTTGGAGTACTGACTTCAGGAAGGTTTGCTTGTACAGCTTCTATTCAGTCACAGGTAGAGGAAGCCAAAAGCAGCTCAGAATGCTCCTGTCAATTCTGTAGGCGTTTCGTAATCAAAGTTCTTCGAAATTTTTCCAAACAAACTAGATTTGGATTTGAAAGGCAGCCTGATCAATATTGAGGATATGATTTGTCAAGCTTCCTCAGAGGGAGTTCCAGAGAATGCCTTTTCCCAATGGTGCCAAAGGTCTGTTTCTGATCCAATTGATATTCCTACCGGGTCTAGTCAAGCTGCTGGTGCAACTCTTAAGCCTCCAAATCGCAAGTGTGCCAGAAATACAAAGATTACTTAACCATCAATGAGTACAGCTTTGAATAAGGCTACCGAAGAAGCTCTCAACCAGCGGGAGCAAGGAATACCCCCCAAACATGAGCATACAATTAAGATTCTTGGGAATAGCTATGCAGACAAGTTAACACTGTAGCAAATAATAAAAGCAGTTAGCCTTTTTGAGGATAGGTCTAAAGCTTGTATATTTCTTGGGCTGACTGTGGGGCTGTTAGAAATACATGGATTAAAGGGTAAATAAGCACTTGATGTAGTTAGTTACCAATTTTCTCATGTATTTTTTTTTTTTTTACCTAGATCTACTTTAAAAACAGGATTTTTTTTTTTCTCAATTGACTATGTGGCATATTCCCTAGTATGCCATATTTCCTCCAAGATACAATTGGTAGTTATTCCACATATCTGTTGCTATTTCATCTCTAATTTGTGACATAGCTCTATAGACTTGTTCATCCTCAGGATCGACCCCTTCGCCCCCAGGACCCATTTGGAAAATGTCATCTTCCTTGCCATAATCTCCATCAAAAGAGAACTTGTCTGACTCTGGAGAAGTTCCTAAATAATTCTAAATTAGTACTTATATTCGATGAATATTTTTCTTTATAAAGTTTGATAGGAATTTAATCGAAATCAAACCAGGTTCAATTTGACTATCAATCAAATATTCTTGCTCTAATGATTGTTTACGAATAAAATTTTAGAGGGCAGCTAAGAGAACAATAAGCTTAGTATTAGGTAGAGATAATCTGATAGACTTCAGAATTGTTTGGGCCATTGAAGATTTGTTTCTGTAGATAGAGATTGTCTAGGAAGCCTCGAATTCACTCATTTCATTTATGACTACTAAGAGCGAAGTAAATTCGGTAAAGTAAGA